AGAGAGAGAGAGAGAGAGAGAGAGAGAGAGAAGGAAGGGCAAGGAACTAGCAAAGAAGTGAACGATAAAACAGAAAAAAACTTGTGAAGCAGCAGCGATAAGGCATAGAGGAGCGGCAAGCTAAGGTTTAAGCCTAAGGCCTCGGACCAAAAAGCACACCGGCTTCGTCCAGTATCGACTGCCACCAATGAGCGCGATAAATCACGCATTATCATTCATTATGAGCGGAAATCGGAAAAGCTGCCGGTGATGAGGCGCGCACGGCGAGGGCATATCGAACTAGGCTTCCAAACTAGGCTTTCTCAGTTCTCCAAACAAATACTCCCACTCTCCCTCCCACACTCTCTCGTTCCCTTGCACTCTCTCCCACTCAAGCCCCGTCTCTCTCCCCCGTCTCTCTCCCCCACTCTAGCCCTCCCCCCCCCCCCCCCCCTCCTCCTATTTCCCACAAAAACGCCAACGTCTAATTCAACCGACAAATAACTGATACTAAACAGCAATTAATTTTAAAAGCTCTTAGCTCAGAAGACCCCAGTCAAACCCCGGACTACAATTACAGTACGGTACATAAACTACCTACGCCAAGGACGAGTGGTGGGCAAAATCTGGATAAAGTGTTGGAAAAACCGAATAATTCTCCTTCAAACATTATCCGAATTCAGGCTCTTTTTTACTCTCTTTCATAACCCGTGTGTCGAAGTCGGTGCCGCCGTAATGTTGAAGTGGTTCTAACCCGTCTGTAGAAGTGGTTAAAGCCCATTTGCCAAAGCGGTTCATAACACATTTGCTGAAGAGGTGCACTAACATAATATCCGGATTTTGCTAAAGCGACTCATTGCCCAGCCTAACCAAGGACGTAACCTCTGTATCTCCATGATCTGATAAAACGCGTTTTTTATCTGCGTATCGACCATCCGATTTCAACTATGGTCTGATAAAACGCATTTTTTCCATCTGCGTATCGACCATCCGATCTCAACTATGGTCTGATAAAACGCATTTTTTATCTGCGTATCGACCATCCGATTTCAACTATGGATTGATGAAACACGTTTTTTGTCAATCTCGGGAAGAAAAATGTGTTTTATCTTTTTTTTTTTTAAAGTAAAAGTTTTACGGAACTTGCAAAACAAAAAGGTCATATAAGTGCCCAAGATTAGGTGTTACAAGAGTGTAACAAACATAAAAAAAGAAGGAGAGATCAGGATGATAGAAGTTTGATAGGAAAGAAGGAGCTAAGCACACCAGAGCACGGTCAGCCAACCACCCACATGGGTTTTATCAGATAATAGGTGTGTACCATTGTACCATCAACATAAAAAGTGCGTACCCCCCCCCCCCCCCCCCTCCTCCTCCAATCTCCCACAAACACGCCAACGTCTAATTCAACCGACAAATAACTGGTACTAAACAGCAATTAATTTTAAAAGCTCTTAGCTCAGAAGACCCCAGTCAAACCCCGGACTACAATTACAGTACGGTACATAAACTACCTACGCCAAGGACGAGTGGTGGGCAAAATCTGGATAAAGTGTTGGAAAAACCGAATAATTCTCCTTCAAACATTATCCGAATTCAGGCTCTTTTTTACTCTCTTTCATAACCCGTGTGTCGAAGTCGGTGCCGCCGTAATGTTGAAGTGGTTCTAACCCGTTTGTAGAAGTGGTTAAAGCCCATTTGCCAAAGCGGTTCATAACACATTTGCTGAAGAGGTGCACTAACATAATATCCGGATTTTGCTAAAGCGACTCATTGCCCAGCCTAACCAAGGACGTAACCTCTGTATCTCCATGATCTGATAAAACGCGTTTTTTATCTGCGTATCGACCATCCGATTTCAACTATGGTCTGATAAAACGCATTTTTTCTATCTGCGTATCGACCATCCGATTTCAACTATGGTCTGATAAAACGCATTTTTTCCATCTGCGTATCGACCATCCGATCTCAACTATGGTCTGATAAAACGCATTTTTTATCTGCGTATCGACCATCCGATTTCAACTATGGATTGATGAAACACGTTTTTTGTCAATCTCGGGAAGAAAAATGTGTTTTATCTTCTTTTTTTTTAAAGTAAGAGTTTTATGGCACTTGCAACACAATATGGTCATATAAGTGCCGACGATTAGGTGTTACAAGAGAGTAACAAACATAAAAAAAGAAGGAGAGATAAGAATGATAGACGTTT